ATATTCTTTTTTTTAAAATATTTTTTTATTTTATTATTTTTATGTGCGTGTATCGTCAAATCAGATCTGACTGGTACAGCAGGAGATTGTCCCTCCTTCCCCGGCAGAGCATCTGGTGGATAAAATATTCTTATAGTTGCCTGGGAAACAAATCTTAATCCTACATGGACTGATCCTCCCACATACAAAAGAGGCCATGTAGAGTAAAATCAAACTGGTGTCCATTACTCATTCCCTCTCCGGCTCTTCCTGTGGCTTTTCTTAGACCTTTCAGGGGACTTTGAGTGGCTCCTGTGCCTGTGACTGTGGTGATGACGTGGGGACTTGGAGCGATCTCTGTGTCTGCGATCTCGGGACCTACTGCGATGACGTCTTGGACTCTTGCTCCTATGTCTTTCTCGACGAGGAGAGGGGCTTCTCCTCTTGGGAGACCGACTCCGCCTTCTGGGAGACCGGCTCCTGCTCCTCCTGTAGCGCAGTGTGGGGGAACGACGGGGTTTGTCTAAGTCTCTGTCGCTTCTCCGACGGTGATCCGGTGATGGAATTCTCTCCAACTTCTCATCTTCCTCTTCACTGGATTCCACGTCATCCATGTCCTCTTCAAGGGCACTAACGCGAGGCTCCAGCTGCTCAGCTTCCTCCAGCACATACCGTTTCTGTAGTCTGGGCAGAATGATGTCACAGACTCTCTCACTATGCAGCAGCTCATCAATAAACTCATCCACATGCATCAGTTCAAACTCCCCATTTCGGTTCTGACTCTTGATCTTCCGACAGTCATTGTACAGAGGCTCCAAATACTTGTAGCAGTCAACTGCAGTGCCAGTCAACCTCATGTAAAGTGCACCCAACATGCGGACATACTTGAAGTCTTCATTTTTTATAAATTCTACAATGATATCCTTTTCAGGTTGAATCTGCAGCATCTTCAGGGTCAAACATAAAAAGGGAGTGGGTTTTATGTTGCCACCATAAACGCCACCCACAAATCTTAACTCCATGGCTTTATCAACTACAAGTTCAGCTGTTAGTCCAAAACATTCTTCTTTCCAGTACTTGGATTCATAGATTCGCGTCCGGATGATCTTCTCCACGAGATACTGAGGGTTGGTGCCGTGGATGCTGTGGGCATCCTTCACCGTACGGTTCGCCATCTTAGAAAGCCGTCAGCTCTGTTTCCGTGGGAGCTTTTAATGCGTCACATCCACGTTAGGAAAGGAAAAAACACTCCAACGGCAAAGCCCGGTTGGGACGGGAAAGAATGCAGGAAGTGTGATTAAATAGTAGAGGCGACCATTTTGAAGCCGGAAACAGTACGTAAGAGCGAGCTTCCTTCCCGCCAACTGCATCAGCTCCCGAATCAAAGATGGCGACTACACGCTGGCTGACGTGCGTCTTGCGCTACCATGTGGGCGGGGCTCCGTGTGGGCGGGGCGGGCTATCAACTAATCCACTTTTAAGATCTGGACCTAAAAGGCTTCCAATGGCATTCATTCTAAAAAGACCCCCTTGCTTATTCCTTTTACAACTATCCATCTCACTTGACAGAGGATTTCTGGAGGACTTGGGTTTGCGGACAGCTCCTCTACCTGTAGGTAGACATCCAGCCGCTTCTGCGTGAGGTTCATGGTCTGCAGGAGTTTCTCATCCTGACTGGTTGACTGCACGTTCTGTTGCTTAGCAACTGCTCTCATCTCCTTCAGGTACTTCTCTCGAACAGACTGGAACCAGTGAAGGGAGTCAAACTCCTGGTACTGATCCAAGAGCTTTAGAATGTACGCCACACCTGCCGTTGTGAACAAAATAAAAATCTCATCACAGTGAACACAGAAGTTGTATTTTGCTCTTTCAGCAGTAACCCTTCTTCCATGTTACATTTCAAAACATAAGTGAGTATATCTCAGCTACATGATTTATTTGTCCTTGAAAAATGATACAAGCGTACAAAGAATTAAAGATAAGCAGACTAATGATAATAACAACAGCCATGGGTAATACACTTTTACTGCTCAAACAGCAATCCAGAGAACTGGAGGGAAATTAGATAACGAAATGCAAGATTCTAAAACCATAAAACCGTAACAAAAACAAAGTCAAACTATTAAGCCAACTAGGCTAAATGAGCTGTCATACCAAGAAAACATTAATTGTAATTATAACTGATGAGGGAAAAAACCCCAACTGACTGGAAGAGATCTATATTTGTTCCCATTCCAAAGAAGGGTGCCCCAATAGAGTGTGGAAATTATCGAACAATATCATTGATATCACATGCAAGCAAGATTCTACTGAAGATTAGCCAAAAATGACTGGAACAGCACATCAGCAGAGAATTGCCAGAAGTCCAGGCTGGGTTTAGAAGGGGTCATGGTACTAGGGATATTGTAGCTGATGTTAGATGGATCTTAGCTGAAAGCAGGGAATACAGGAAGAATGTCTATCTGTGTTTCATTGATTATGCAAAGTCTGACTGTGTGGATCACAACAAATTGTGGCTGACTCTGAGAAGAATGGGAATCCCTGAACACTTGATCGTGCTAATGAGAAACCTATACTTGGACCAAGAGGCAGTTGTCAGAACAGAGCAAGGAAACACTGCATGGTTCAAAATTGGGAAGGATGTATGCCAGAGATGCGTCCTATCTCCATACCTTTTCAACCTGTATACAGAACAGATTATCTGAGAATCTGGGCTCTATGAGGAGAAGTGTGGCATCAGGATTGGTGGAAGATCTATCAACAATCTGTGTTACGCAGATGACACAACCCTGCTTGCTGAAACTGAGGAGGACCTGAAATGCTTGCTGGAGAGGGTCAAGGACTGCAGCCTTCCATATGGATTGAGGCTCAATGTCAAGAAGAGAAAGATTCTCACCACTGGACCAACTGGCAGCATCAGGATGGATGGTGAAGAGATTGACATTGTTAACAACTTTAGTCTGCTTGGCTCCACAGTCAACACTCTTGGCACCAGTAGCCAGGAAATAAAAAAAAAAAAACGTATTGCGATGGGAAAGTCTGCTGTTAGGGACCTCTTCAGGGTACTGAAGAGCAATGGTGTCACTCTGGAGACTAAGGTGCGTCTGATGCAGGCTATGATCTTTGCAATCAGTTCTTTATGCATCAGAGAGTTAGACAATGACTAAGGAGGATAGAAGGAGAACTGATGCCTTTGAGCTGTGGTACTGGAGAAGAGTATTGAATGTACCACGGACTGCCAAGAAAACAAACAGATTCATCCTGGAGAGGGTTAAACTGGGTGGCTCCTTGGAGGCAAGGATTCTGGGGCTTCGTCTGACATACTTTGGACATGTTGTAAGGAGGGACAGGTCCTTGGAGAGGGACATCATGCTTGGGTGGGAGGATGGATGGCGCAGGCGGGGAAGACCCTCTATAAGGTGGATTGATTCAGTGACTGGGGTAATCGGGATGGATGTGTCAGAGGCAGTGAGAATGGCACAGGAGAGAGCAGGGTTTAGGGCTGTTGTACATAGGGGACTCGATGGCACATAACAACAACAACTGTCAAACAGGGGGCCCAACCGAAAAAGAAACCAATATTTGTGATTAACAAGTTCACAGAAAACACCTGACCGTATTCTCAAGCACGTATCACTAAGCATCCAGCATAAAGTGAACATAAAATAAAGGGGAAAACAATTCCAATGAGCTCACCCATGGCAAAGCCATCATCAGTAAAAGCGGCTCCAATTTTATTTTTTTTATTCAATTTTTCCTTGCAACTGATGGAATGCTCTACAAAGTTGAGGGTCTAAAAAGGGGGAAAAAATGTATTAGGCTCAGTTGTGCAAAGAAAACCTTCAAACAATCTCATAGGTGTCCAGTCAGAACCATTTCCTGGCTGTCCCTCCGCTACATTTCTGTGGCTGTACGTTTAACAGGAGGAGGCTGCTCATCGCCGACCCACAGAGCGGTGGAGGCCAACAGCCAGAGGTATCGCCACTGCGATAGCAGCTCCCCTCACTACAGACTATGCTGCCAGAGACCCCCTAAGATGAAAAAGCATTCAAAATACAATCTCTTCCAAGGTCCTTGCCTTTTTCTTTTTTGAAACATCAAATTTTTATTTTACACTGGCTTACTTACAAGAGCCTTGAATATAGCATGAGTAGAGTGTGTAAATAAGTTTGAAGACTAGTATTCGTTTATGGATATTCTAAAGATCCCTTAAGTTTGGATTGAGGAGTTCAATCTTTATCTAAAAAAACATACCATGGGCCACCAAGAAAAACAGGCCTGTCTTGGAGAGGGTAAAACCAAGTTTCTCCTCAGAGGCTAGGATTCTGAAGCTCTGTCTCACATACTTTAGGCACGTGGCCAGGAAAGACTAATCCTTGGAGAGGGACATCATGCACGGAATGGAGGGACAGTGTAAGAGAGAAAGACCCAAGATGAGATGGATTGAGACAATAACTAGGGCAGTGGGGGTAGATGTGCTGGAGTCAGTGAGACTGGCTCAGGACAGGGCAGGCTTCAGAGCTATTGTACACAGGGTCGCTATGAGTCAGGCGACTCAATGCAATGGCACATAACAATAACAGCAACCCATGTGATGACAAGCTCTACTGGTGTAATCCTCAGGGAGTTGTATTGTTAACCCAACATCCCTCTTTTGGTGGTTCGAATCCACCAGAGGTTCCTCAAGTAAGATAGGAAATCTCTTCCGATTTGATTGACAGCCATGGAAACCCAAGGAGATCAACAATGAGCTGGTTCCAACTCGACTACACTAAGAGAGTGTCTCTTTCATACTATAGTTGCTCTTCATCCTCAGAAGGGTCAACAGGGGTCAGAATCACCTTGACAGCAATGGGCTTTGTTCTAGGTACGTGTCCTCTTGCAATTATTAGCACACAAGCCCCCACCTTATCAAGAAATCTCATTTTCTATAGCTAATCAGTAAAAATTGTAGTTCTTATTCACTAAGATCTGATTTCTTCACAACAATAAAGTCAATATGAGAATCTGTCTTGGGTGCATTTCATATTGCAATGGAATGGATTCATTAGTGATTTTTTTTTCAAAGGATTCATTTTCAGTACAAAAGCACTCACCAGCGGGGGGACAATGATATAGAAATTTCGAAGGTGTATATTCTTCGGCCTTCGGAATTCTGGAGCAAAAACATCCACAAGCATTTTGAAATACTCTGTGCCTTCAGCAGAGTTTCTTGTGTGATCACTGAGGACTGAATCCAAATGCCTAAAATATTTAAAAAAAAGAAAATGTCCTTGATTCCTCTCTTATAAGGAGCTGCGACTCTTTAACTTCATCTTTCATCATGTCAGAGGAATGCGTTCAAATGCTAACAATATTCTAAGACATTTATAAGGTAAATTCCCTTGGAGTTTAAAATGAATTAATTCTGTAATGAAGAAAAATGTCTTGTCTTAATCCTTAAAAAATAGTATGTAAGGTATAGTCTTAAATCTGTTAAAATAACAGCTTTTTGTTTTGTTCTTCCTACTCAAGTCTTGTAAAATCTCATTTCATTGTGAATTCCTCTACATCTTCAGTCTCTCTACGTAGTACTTCTCTGTATCTCTTTCCCTCAACAAACAGCAGCTCTTTTAAAAACCAAGTTTACCTCTCAGCCTTCCGAAGCACTAGGTGCTTATCCCCCAGCATCCTTCATGTACGCGTCCTTCATGAGTATCTTCCGCTTTCAAGTTATTATTCCTCCATCTCTGGACAGTACAAAGCTCTCCTTTAAGGCTCAGATCACCTAACTATCCTACGCACCCACTCCCTCCTGAAGTTGGGCATTTACCACCTCACCAATCACTGCTCTCCATTTACCTGGCACCTGGTCACCTCCTGATCATTTCAGAGGACTGACTGTCCATGTGGATAATTACTCATCATGGTAACTACACGACTCTGTGACTACCTTCACTTCACTGCAGGCTTCCACTCTGGTAGATGAATCTAGGCCTTCTCACCACAGGGAACTCTGTATTAGAGAGCTTAAAGATAAGATCCCATGCTTTGACCTCACTCTCCTTTCCTATAAATTCTCTCTCTCATTATGTCATCAAAATTTTTAACTCTTTTTTTTCCTGTATTTCTAACATTATGACATTTTTAGGACATCATATAACACCCAAGAACAAGATACAATACTATCTCATATTAAAATCTCTCATTAGCCCCTATTTAAGTAATTTTTGTCCTTCGGAGCAATGTCCCCCATCTAGGTGATTGTTGAACCTGGTTGCCTAGGTGTCCTTAATCTCCTTCCTAGAACAGTCACTTTACTGATATGTGACTTTTTCTTAAATCTGGAGTAGATGTCTTGTAGAATACCACATATTCATGTTTCTTGGATTATTTCCTCATAATTAAATGTCCCATTTATTGCTGATGCTAAATTTGACTACGTGGCTCAGGTGAGATGTTCCCCTCTGTGATTAATAAATCACTTGTACGATGATGTTTTTGAGACTGAATGAATATTCAGTTCTCAAGTAAGTTTTCATCTGTTTTGGAAGCCTCAGATGCTTCGGGATGATTTCAAGTATTACACTGGTGATTACAAAATGGGTGATTCTTCTAATTCTTTTCATCTCTTCTACATTTACTTGGTAGACGTTCTTCTATAAAAAGCAGCTTTCCCTCTCATTCACAACTTTTCTTATCATTTACAGATTCTTTTAAAATTCAACATAACATAGTCTATTTCTTCCATTACTCTTATTAATATTAAAATTCTCTCTAGTCTGTGTAGGGGTGCCTCTTTCATGCCCAAGTAAATAAACTGCTATAATTAATAGTGATAGAATCTGCACTACACCAGATAAATTCTAAACAATTCCCAATACTTCCTTCTTTCAAGTTTTAAGGTCTATAAGAAAAATCACTAAAGGTTTAATGCTATGGATCTGCACTGTCCCATACTGTAGCCGGTAACTATTAAATACAAACTAACAAAAAGGAGTTTTAAAAGTCACCTGCCACACGCTAGTGGCTGCTGGGCTGAGAGGGCTGCACTGTTGCTGCGAGGTGCCACTGAGCTGGCTGTCTCCTGGTGACCCTCTGGGCAACAGCAGTTTTATTGTGCTGCCCAGTGCTCTGCCAGCTCACAAAAGAGGACAAGAAAGGCAGGGCTTCGAGAGCACTGTTGGGGAGCTACTTCTTTAATTTTCAGTTTTCTAGGAGTCACAGCTTTTTTTAAATTAACATTCACTTTATTAATGAGGTTTGGGTGTTTTTAGTGGTAAGCTTTCAAAATTAGTCATGTACTTCATGCTTTGCCACATGTCAATGTGAATTAGTCACATTTCAGTGTTCACATGTGGCTCCTGGCCACCCAAGCACACGGCACGTTCTGGAAGACACCTTTTAGTGACATGGAAAGGATCACAGAACACTGCAGTCTAAAAAACAAGGAGCTGATGTACACTGAGATCATAACTTATATAACACCGACTTGTAAATTATACATTATCCTCTAGTCTATTTTTTTTTGTTTTACAAAATTTAACACTTTTTAAATCCTCAAATATAGATTACTACAAAATGGATTACCTTGCTGCTTTTAATGTTTCTTCTGCAAGACCTTCTTCTTTTACTAATTCTTCAAAATTGACAATATCTTCAAGATCAGGCACAAATCTACATAATGATTTGGGAAGGAATTTAAATATAAAGCATATGTACTTGATAAATATAGTATTGGTATTTAGAGTATTCTAAATTTTTCAAATGTATCTTTGGAAAGAAGCTGGCATTTTAGATATAAATTTTAAAACTTTTCAGTTCTAGGCACAAATGACCAGATTTTAGTCCTGAACACGTGGCTGCACACTTTTAAACTGACGACCGTGATTAGAAACACGTTTTGCCGTCATTTGTGGCAACGTGTTAGAACCAAGTGATGCCATTCACAAATTGTACTAATAACATTACCTTTAATCTTAAAAGAAATACTTAAAATTAGTTTTAAAATTTCTGAAGGAAAAAATTAACTAGTAGAAAATTAATGGTTTTTCTAAACAGCCCATGTCCAGCTGCAAACAAATGGACTGAGAAACTGAAGTACATTCACATGATGGAATAATATGCAGCACTCAGGAACAACCATTTCAAAAATTACTATGTAACTTGGGAAAGACTGGAGGGCATTACGCTGAACTAACTCAATCTTGTAAGAATAAATACCACCTAATAACATTATTGTAAAAACAGAAGGATAACTAGTAAAATGTGCATGGGGATCCAAGAGAGAAAGGGATGGGAACAGAGGGTGACAGTGAGCAGGGGGTTAAATCATAGAGTCACACAATTTGGTGGGTAAAGGGAAGGGAGGTAAAGGAAATGGAAAGATACAACAAAGACCTGGAAGGACTGGGTAATGGTGGGCATAGTTCAATAGTGAATCATTTTATAAAATATAATGAATAAGAATGATTGTATAAAACAATGTGAATGAAGGATAGTGTGAAACACAATGTATAAGAACTTTTTTTAATGTATAACTTTATACGAAACCAATATAAATTTTTTTAAAAAGGTATTTTTAACAAGATCCAACACCTTTCCTTTGATACTACTTACAATAACAATAGGTTTAAATGACATAAATATGTAAATGGCATAAACAAGAGGAAAGTATTTCTGTCCATACCTAATGGCATTGCTGCTACAATGAAGGCCACCAGATCTTATCATTCGCACATAGCCCATAGCATTACCTAAAAAAAAACCACACATAAAAAAATCAACTTTAAATAAATATCTCTAAAATGGAATAATCAGGAACATAGTGATACAAAGCAGTCAATTACAAAGTGTCTGCTCCTAAGTGCCGAAAGACTCTTCTGCACTTTATGGCAAGTCTTTTTCCATACTTTTATACACATATATTAAATATTGTCAAGTGTAATTTTCATTTGATAATCCAAGTTTTCAAAAATGATGACTATACAGAAAAGGACAAAAGTTTTACAATTCCATTTAAAGAATTTTTTTCTCTCACACTTAAAATCTGTGTTTCTCCTCCCTGCTTTCTCATATACACAGAGATGAAAGTGATATCAAAGAGCCTTTTTATTAGATGTGTCCTATTATTTACATAAGGAGCACTGGTGGCTTAGTAGTAAGCAACTGCCAACCAAAGGAATGCGTTTCAAATTCACCAGCTGCCCTGTAGGAAAAAGCTGGGCAATCTCCTCCCATGCAATTTACTGACTCTGAAAATCTGCTGGAGGGTCAGCTATAAGTCAGTTCTGATAAAGTAATACATAACAACAGCAACATTTATAGAGGGAGGTCTAGTAGCCTCCTGGTAAGGAGTTGAGAAACTGGTGGCCTTGGGATTGCAGTGCCCCTTGCATGCATCTATCTATCATCTATCTATCTATCTATCTATCTATCTATCTATCTATCTATCTATCTATCTATCTACATCTCACTAGCACCTACACATAAATGTTGTCCTGAAAAAAAAACAACCCAACCAACCCATACTCATTGCTGCCAAGTCCATTTTTCTCCCTCAGAGCAAGCAGGTAGTGGATTCCAACCAAGTGCCTTTGGTTAGCAGTGCAACTCCTTACAGACTAGGTTACCAGAGTTCCCCTCCTTCAATAAGTCCCTATGAATTAATAAGTAGAATTAAGAATTCTTACTGCAGTTGGGAATTTTAAATGAGTTAAAGTATGGAAAGAACTCAGAATAGCCCTCTCAACTCAAATTCACTGGCATTGAGTAGAAACCTACTCAGACTCTCAACTGCATTTTCAAGGCTGTAAATCACATGCGAGGAGAGTGCGTTTTCCTCCTGTAAAGTCACTGGTGGATTTCAACCACCAGAGAAGTTCTGTCTTTGGGTTAGCAGTGCAGTAACTTCCTCCAGAACAGGTCACCAAAGTCCTACTATATTGTTGTGTACCATATAGTTGGAACTGACCCACAGGTGACCTGCTGGTGGGTTTTCAGAGGCAGTTAATCACACAGGAGGAAACTGCCCATCTTTTTCCCACAGAGCAACTGGTGGCCTTGAACAGCCTGCCTTTGGGACTGCAGTGCAGCTTCTTGCTACTAGGCCACCAGAGCTCCCTACTACTATATAGCAAATCTCAATAATTTCAGCAGACATGTTATGAAACAAAAGGATTTCTATTTTGCTCCCAGTTCTGAGATTACTCATTTCCTCCAAGTATTTAATAAGACTTTAAGATCCATCTATGGACCCAGGAATGCTGAGGATTGCCACTAACTACTAGAAGGTGAAATAAACAAAGACAGAATCTCTCTAGGTCTTTGCCCTGAATCTGGATATTGAATCTTCAGAACTGTGACAAAATAAATTTTGGTTCTTTAAAGCCACTCACTTCAGTAGTTTCAGTTGAGGCAGCTCTATAAGAAAAACCTATTTATTAGATGTTTTTATTATTAGTCCTGCAAGTAAATTTTAAACCCCCTGAGAACAAAAAAGGCTGTGACTTTCTCATTTTTTGCATTTCCCGCACCTAGCAGAGTATCTTGCATAATAGGTTCTTAGTAAATTGCAATAAAAAAAATTTAGAAGGCATAATTTTGCTAAAATATAGTCAACTAGAATTTATCAACTGCTTGATATGACAGTTGTAAAGAAGAGAAAATAATATGTTTGGGCTGAAAATGCCTAGTGTAAGTTCCAGCAACACAATTTATTTGTTTCCCTTTTCATCTTTAAAATGTGACTGTATATAGATCATATATATAAAAATCCTTAGAGTTTTAGATACCCATAATTATTTTTAAATTTAATTCTTATTTTTAAGTATGTATGTTTCATAAGATAGCCTTTACTTGTTTGGCAGAAAGATTCTAAAAAAATTATATGCACAAATATGAAAAACTATACAAAAAAAATTTAAACAGTTGCTATCTTATCTTGAAGTTTACAGGTATCTTGTTAACATAAATAATTACTTTTTCAGGCAAATATTTTATATCTCCCACTTTGCTTGTGATTTGAAAAAAAAACCTCTTTAGAAGCTCAACAGTTTCCACGATAGAGGAGGTAACACCAAGGCCTTGGCAGGTTACTGATAATTATGACTACAGCCTTTGAGATGAGTGACTTATTAAACACATTTTAACTTAATCAAAGAGCTTTATTGAACTTACATTAATTTATAGTCTATCAATTATTTCAGCAGCAATAGTATAATCATATCTGAATTTTTTATCAGATTATGAAAGGACAAAAAATTACTCAAGTGAAATACAAGAGAGGCATTTATGTAATAAACCATTTAATGTATTTTTATACAAACAAGGTGAGTCCTCTACATTCGTTTGCCAATTACCACTGTCCTTTTCATAAGCATGCTAATTGCTTTACAGTGGCATGTGGGAATCCTCTTGGGGGATCAGTAAGAAAACACAGAAAGCTGCCTGGCAATTTCTGCATAAAAATAAATTATTAGGATGATATATTTAACATATGATACATATCCTTAGGATATATATTTCCCAAAATTTTTATAATAACTTACCAATCTGGCTAATGAGTTGCCTGAACTGATCCAGGTAGCTCTGTCCCTCTGGTGTTATTCCAAGTTTTCTGATGCCTCGATTGAATTTTTCTGCTCTTTCATAAGGATACTAGAAAGATAATTTTAAGACCACCTTTATTACAGATCCCCAAAACAGAAAAGGTCTGTCAAGTTAACCAAGTCACATTTCTTTCTAATTGTGTATTTCTGATATGCTTTAAAACCCACTCAAGTCTAATGATAAAAAAATCTACAGAGTAAAAATTCTTAGTGTTCAAAGCTGACATGAATTAATTTTCTTTTTGACATAAACTATGGGAACAAAGATCAATGTCATCAAACTGAAGTTCCTAACTACTATTAGTTGCCTCCCTTAACACTGAACTACTGTATCAGAAAGGAAGTCTGGTAGCTTAAGGGGTAAGGAGTTGCCCTGCCAACACAAAGGCACACAGTTCAAATCTCCAAATGGCTCCATGGGAGAAGAATGGGCAATCTTCCTATGCAATTTATAACCTCTCTAAACGGCTAGAAATTCAGTTATGATTCTGCTCCAATTCAATAGTGATGAGTTCAATTGTTTGTTGATTCTACATGTAAAATAAATCAATTCCTCCCAGACATACTTGTTTAAAGAGACATGATCCAGTTTCTTTGTATTAAAAAGTATAAGGATTTAGAAACATATTCCTTCCCAATTATCATACCTCAGCTGGGCTAAAATTTCTAGTTGTGATAACTAATTTAAAAAAAAAAATATATATATTTTCAATCTTATTTGATTAAAAGAGGAAATTATAATAACAAATACAATGGTTATGTCTCTGAAAACTAGAATTTCTGAATCCTTAAAATTAGTTATTATAATTCTCTGTCAATAGTTCTATTGTTTCTGGTACAGTGACTCTGTGTATTCCCTCCATTTTCTTTTGATGCTTTCTGGGTCATTCAATATATTGACCATAGCATTTTTCAATATTGTGACATGAGGCTTAAATTTGTTTTCAGTTCTTTCAGCTAGAGAAATGCGAAGCGAGTTCTTCCCTTTTTAATCTTCAATTCCAGCTCTCTGCACATTCCACTATAATACTTTGCTGTGTCCTCCCAAACTGCCCTCTAAAATCATCTGTTCAGCTCTTTCACTTCAACATCTTTTCCTTTTGTTCTTGGCTTCTGACACTCCAGTGCAATCTTTAGAGTCTCTTCTGACGTCCATTTTGATTTTTTCCTTTCTGCTGTTTTTCTAATGACCTTTTGCTTTCTTCATGGATTATATCCTTGATATCATCCCACAACTCATCTGGTCTTCGATTATTGCTTTTCAGTGCCTCAAACCTATTCTTAAGATGACCATAAAATTCAGATGGAATTAATTCAAGATTATATCTTAATTCCTGTGGACTTATTTTCATTTTCTTTGGCCTCAATTTAAACTTGCATATGAGTAATTGATGATCTGACCCACAGTCCTCCCCGGCCTAGTTCTGACTACCAATTTTGAGATTCTCCAACAATTTCTCCCACAAATATAGTCAGTCTGATTCCTAGACAGTCCATCAGATGAGAATCATGTGTAAAGTCGTTTTTTGTGTCTTTTAGAAAAAGTATTTGCAATGAGTAACTTATTATAAATACAAAATCCAATCATTCTATTTCCAGCTTCATTTCTATCACCAAGTCCATATTTTCCAACTACTGTTTCTTCTTCACTGTTTCCTATTTTCGCATTCCAGTCACCAATTATCATTAACACATCCTAATTGCTTGTTCAGTTAATTTCAGACTGCAATATTTGGTAAGAATTCTCAATTTCTTCCTCTTTGGCTCTAGATGCAGGAGCATATATTAGAATAATAGTGTTAACAAGTCTTCCTTATATGTGTATGGATACTGTATCAAAAGGAACTGACGGACAATAAAAAATTTCAGAAGTACCATATGAACAGGAGCCAATGGTAAGAAAGGAGGAAGGAGAAGCTGCATTGAAGGCATGGGCAAAACATAAGGCCCCAGGAATCAATGATATACCAATTGACTTCTTTCAATTAACAGATGCAGCCTTGGATGTACTCACCAGTCTTGGCCCAGAAATTTAGAAGATGGCTGTCTGGCCAATGGATTGGAAGAGGTCCATATCTGTTCCCATTCCCAAGAAAGGTAATCCAACTGAACGTGGAAATTATCGAACAATATCACTGATATCACATGTAAATAAAATACTGCTGAAGAGCATTGAAAGACAGCTGGAATAGTACATAGATAAGGAAATGTCCTAAGTTCCAGCAGGATTTAGAAGAGGTCATGGCATCAAGGATATCATTGCTGAAGTCAGCTGGATCCTGGCTGAAAGTAAGAAATACCAGAAGAATGTCTATTTGCGCTTTATTGACTCTGCAGAGGCATTTGACTGTGTGGGTCATGACAAGCTGTGGCTGACATTGAGAAGAATGGGAATCCCAGAACACTTAATTGTGCTCATACAGAACCTATCCTAGACCAGGAGGCTGTTGGGTGAACAGAGCAGATTAGCAATGCACGGTTTGGAATTGGGAAGTGAGTGCACCAGGGCTGTATTCTCTCTCCATACCTATTCAATCTGTATGCTGAGAAAATTATCTGAGAAGCTGGACTCTATGAAGAGGAGTGTGGCATCAAGATTTGAGGGAGACTCATTAATAACCTGCGTTTTGCAGATGACATAACCTTGCTTGAGGGAAGTGAGGATCACTTGAAACACTTGTTGCAGAAGATCAAGGAACTCAGCCTTCGGTGTGGATTGCATCTCAATGTCAGGAAAACAAAGATTCTTACCACTAGACTGATAGGCAGCATCATGATGAATGGAGAGGAGACCAAAGCTATCAACAGCTTCATCTTGCTTGGATCCACAATTAACACCCTTGGTACCAGCAGTCAGGAAATAAGAAGACGCATTGCACTAGGAAAATCTACAGTTAGTTACTGAGGAGTAGTGATGTCAGTTTTGTAAACTAAGGTGGGTCTGATTCAGATCATATCTTTCCAATTACTTAATAGCTATGCATCTGAGAGCTGGGCAATGAATAAGGATGACAGAAAAAGAACTGATGCCTTTGAGCTATGATGCTGGAGAAGAGATCTGAACATCCCATGATGGCCAAAAGAATGAACAGATATGTCTTGAAGAGAGTGCAGCCAGAGTGTTCTTTGGAGGCAAGAATGATGAGGCTTCGCCTCACTTTTTTCTTTTTTCCCCCTCACATATTTTGGACATGTTGCTGGAAGGTGCTATTCTTTGGAGTGGGACATGATGCTGGGAAGAGTGGAGGGTCAGCAAAAGAGAGGAAAACCCTCAACCAGGTGAACTGACACGGTGAGTATTGCAATGGGCTCTTGTGTGTCAGGAAGTGTGAGGATGGCGGAGGATAGAACAGGGTTCAGATCTTTTGTTCATAATGTCACTATGGGTCGTACTCGACTCAACAGCACCTAGTAGCAACAAGATCAGGAATGTATTATTTTACTAAAAAGTCCATCTTAAATAAAATTACAAGTATTATTTTAGTGAAATAAGAATTCTTTTATTCTTTTTCTCAGCTGTTGGATATCTAAGAGAACTACTCACTGCTACACAAAGGACTGGAACTAGGTGAACCTTAAGAAACAACATCCCTGAGACTGTGGTTCGTGGTCTCTTTATAAGTCTTGATCGAAACTGTCCTGCCACCTCCAAACAAGTAGAGAGCCTTATCAATGAGCAAGTCACTGCTCAGAACAGTCATGAAACAAGCTCAAAAAGGCAGCATGTGCCAGGAAGGAGGCTCAGAGGCAGGAAGGGATAGGACAGAAGCAAAAATGGAGATAAGACTGACAGGGAGGAAATGGGAAGGGTGATGTTACCCTGTAAATGTGGGATCTAGTATTAATGTCCTAAAAATATGTATGAATGATTGACTAGAAAACAAATCTGCTCCATAAACATAAACTTTATAGCATAATGAGAAAAAGTTTCTTTAAGAAAAGTATCCAATTGTGATGCACGGCAACCCTGAGTTTCAGGGCAGAACTGTGCTGCCCGGGTTTTCCATGGCTGTGATTTTTTAGGTCTCCAGGCCACTCGGTTATCTTCCAGAAGGTTCAAACTGCCAATGTTTTTTGTTGGTAGCTGAGAACTTAACTGTCTGTGCCACCCAGGAAATCAGCATCTTAAAAGGATAATTACAATAGTTCTGTAGGGGCAAATCGAGGTCCTCTCGCTAACTGGTTCGACAGCCACATGGTTAGACATTAATATACTGTTACCACGTACAATAGAGCAGACTTTCCTGGAAAACTCAGCCCAGAGGGTAAGGGAAAACAGTATTCTTAATAAAGTATTGCTGTGTCAACTGGCACAATATTTCTGGAGTGCTTGGCAATATGGTTCAGAATTTTAAATATTCACATTTCTTGTCCTGGAAATTTCTCTTTAAATGTATAAGGATGCTACTTGCAACCCTGAAACATTGTTTTTTAAAAGTGAAAAATCTGGGAAAAAAATCCCTGTATTTAACAAACAACAACTCATTATCATTTAGTCAGTACCTACTCAGACCTGACCCTCTAATTAGAGTTCTTAAAGGCTGCAAATTGAACAAGAGAAAGTTCATGTTTCTACCAAGAAATAGCTGGTGAGCCCAAATCACCAACAAGGCCCTTCCTTAGAGTGAGCAGCGAAACGCCCATGGACTCGTCACCAGAGCTCACACATGTATCTACAAACGTTGCTGTATGTACCACCGAGTTAGAACCGACTCACTGCCGACTAGCAGATTTGCAGAGGCTGTAAATCACATGGGAAAAGACTGTCCATCGTCACACAGGGCAGCAGGTGGATCCAAACTCCTGCATCTGAGCTGGCAGCGTAACTCCTTACCACTAGGCTACCAGAGTTCCCTATCTAACAATATTGTTGTTGTTGCTGTGTACTGTTGAGTCAGAACCAAACCACAGCGAGCCAACTCTCCAGCAGGTTTTCAGAGGCAGTTAACTGCACAAGAGGAAAATGCCCATCTTTGTTCTGTGAAGCAGCTGGTGGACTCAGACCATGTGCCTTCGGGATTGCAACAAAGGTTCTTGCCACTAAGCCACCAGAGCTCCTATCTAACAATAGGAAATGGTTAAACCAATATGAAGTATGGTCATACCCACTCTTAAAAGAATGAAGTAGATCTGTATGTCATTATACATGTCCAAAACAGGGCATTATACATAAAAAAGAAAAACCAACCATATCTGTATGCTTATTGTATAGATACATGACAGTCATTACACTGCACTGTCTAACTGCTAAAATCTCTAAAAAGTGGGATAAGGAGGAAAGAGAAATGGGGCAGGATATTTGTTTTACACACTTCATATGGTTTAACTATTTTTAAATATGTCTATTTTACTTTTGTGTTATTTTCAGATACTTAAAATAACACCACAAAGACTGCTTTTTACTTATACTTCAGTATATCAAAAAGCCAGTAAAGATGTAAATTACGAGTTTCAGCATAAATATTTAGTATATATTAAGCAGTTGAGTCCAACATACCTTATGATCATTTTGATCCTTGATTTCCCGGAAAAATCTAATATCTTTAATCAATCTAGATTTGATATGTTCATCATACATAAATTGACTAAATATATAGAACTTCTTTTTCAAAAACTGGTAGGTGAAATTAACCTGTACAATTAAAATATTGAAAAAAATTAGTATAAATTTTAAATTAATGTTAATGAATAATAATTAACTAAAACCACAATTTATTTATAAGACCTATCTTAACATGAAAAGTGCAACAATGAATGAATGGAATTCCAAAATCTCTGTAGCTGTTCACTGAAATTAATAATAATAAAAAAAATGCAAAAAAAATTTTGTAGCATTTTCTCCACATCTTTGCTTTAAAAAGAAAAAAAATAGAAAATACTTAGGATTATGACAGAAAGAATTACAAAAGCAGACTCAAGACTGGGTTTTAAGCCATAAACTATATTCAGATGTTTCATATTTCTTTATCTGAAAGATAAACTTATTAATAATCATATCCTAGAATACAAAAGAAACATGACGCTCTTTCAATTTGCTAGAACTACCCAACACAAAGAACTATCCAAGAGCAAGAGCTCAGAGCATGTTAATGTCTCCCAACTGGCCAGTCCACTACAGCTCTGCTATCCTGTGTACTCCACACCACAGGCAGAACACAAAACTTTAAAGCCTCTAAAATGCTTCTGAAAGCTAAAATCTTCAACAAAGCCAACTAAAGACCAATCCTCTCAACAATGCCACAAGGCTCTGCAAACTGTAACATCTGGCCACCCCTCAAATTCATCTTTACCACCTTTCCATTACTTTCTGCTCCTTCCTATCAGAGGTCCATTACACAAGCTACACTCCTTTCATGGAATGCTCTCCTTGCAATGCATTCTTCTCCACCTTATCAATCTGAACTCTTCCTACTAGGAACTTCTTGCAAGAAAACTTCTTTCTACAGGATACCACTTCATACAGAATACCTGTTCTTGCTGACCTTCCTGCCCGTGCCACCTGAGGTGTTGGCTTTTCTAGCCATTACATTAGCCCCCTTTGGCCTCCTGCTACGTTAACTGCAAACACATGGTCTTGCAAATCATCAACAGCTGTGGGATTTGGGTAAGAGAAAGAGAGTGTGTGTGCTTCCCACACAGAGCAGCAAGATTTGAGGGAGACTGGAGAAAGATCCTGATAAGAGTAAGACCAGAGTGAGACTCCGGTGATGGTGGTGGAGAGACTTTAACATTGCCGTGGAGAAACTGTGGCAAGGTATAAGCAGAGGAGACCTGAGATAAAGGCTACAGTTAAAGGTTTTGCTGTTTTTGCCAGATGATGGAAGGAAAAGCTGACAAGTTAACTGAAACCAGAGCCAAACTAATTCGGGAAGTGTGCCTTGGGACTTCTAGACTAAAACCCCCACTCTCAAACTTACTTCTCTAATAAACTCCAATCATGATACCACAACTGAGTAAAGTCTGTGAGAAAGAACAAATGTTGACACCAATGATTGGTAGAAAAAGGTGTAGGAGCATGGGGGGTGGCATGTCTGACCAAAAAGCTGTTTGCTGTTATGGATAGCACCAACGGGGAAAGTTCTCCTGTAGGAAGTGGGTGGAGGTCAGACTTGCATTAGCTCCTTGGACATCAACCCACCCCGGCCATCAGAGTATGATTTCTCCACAGGAAATGTCTCCTTTCCTTCAGTCATCTACAGAGGAATACATTGTGATTTACCTATTAAGATCTATATCCTTCAATATAGTAGGACAGAATAAGGACAGAAGCCATGTCTCTTTTTCTCACTGTGGTGCACAGTGCACCATTGCCTGACATACATAAAATACACTCAGTCATATCTGTTAGTGAGAGGACTAAGGTGCGCCTGATTTTCAGATCATGGTCTTTTCGATCACCTGCTATGTATCTAAGAACTAAATAAGGATGACTAAAGAAATTAGATGCCTTTGAGATGTGTTACTGTATAATGTATATCCCAAGGATTGCCAAAAGAACACATGTATCTTGGAGAAGGTGAAGCTAGAGTGCTCCTTGGAGGTAAGCATAGTGAATCTTCCTCTAGCATACTTTGGGCATATTGTTAGGAGAGAGACATCATGCTTGAAAACGTAGAGGACCAGCAAAAAGCGAGGAAGAGTCTCAACCTAGAGGATTGACAGTGACTGCAGCGATGGGCTTTAATGTGTCAGGGTTGTGAGGATGGCATAGGATAGAAGAGAGTTCAGCTCTGCTGTTCACAGGGTCACTCAGAGTCATACTTGACTTGACAGCACCTAACAACAATAGGATCTGTTATGTGAATAACTGCTTGGTAGGTTATAGACAAAGGTCAAAGGAGAATTTATTTCTCCTCAGAGATTTAGTTTATTTATCCTTAAGGCATGGATAATTTTCAATTTCAAACTCTGAATTTCTTTATCGCATTTCTATGCTGGTCATCAGCAAGAGAGCTCTAATCACATCACTCATCAGCTCAACAAACTTCACTAGAAAGTGAAAAACTATAAACCTCATTAACCAGTCTTGTAATTGTTTCCTTCACTCTCAAATTTCCTTAATAATGCTATCTATTTAAGCATTCAAGCATTCATTCTTCTCCTCTCAAAGCAACTATCATGCCCTGATAATCATCAGGTAAATGAAAAGATTTTATCTTTTCCAGAGAGACTTAGTACACATTAACTTAACACACAAGACTGAATGCCTATATCTAATAGTTCTAGAATGTTTTCAGTGTATTCCTATTTATTTCAAAGCCAATTATTAATCTCTTCCCCATGAAAAAGTTTCTCATGAAAAGCATATGAACGATATTAAATAAACCTTATCAATCATTCAGCTTTCAAAGAATCCATGTATGCTCATGTCCTCAAATCTCCAACCCTAATAGTTTAAGATGGTAAGCGATCTTAGTTTCTTTTGTATCACAGAGCTTCCATTACATCCAATAGTTTTAGTGTCACACATCTTCATTGTATCAACCTCAAAAATAAAAATTCATATACAATATAAATAAGTAATTGCAGATTCAGAAACTATTTTCCAAACTACTAAATAGTCTGTTACTGAACCCCTTAAAAGGTGCTTACTGTTGTATTCATGATTCCTGTGCCATGTGTTCGAATTGAATTTGCAATGTGTCGAATATTAATGGTATTCAAATGTTTGTTATTGCTTGTTCGCTCAATAAAAATCTGTAATGAAATAAAGCTATAATCAATAATAACATAATCAAATACTGGCAAATATTGGCCAGATAGTTATCCAGAAAAAAGTTCAGAATCTAGTTCATTAAACATAATTTAACTGAAAAGCTATTCTAGAAAGAATTATAGTTAAAGCAAAAGAATATGCAGGTTCATTTCTAAAGCAATAGCTTTTTGTTTTGCTTACTTAATTTTCACCTTAAGAATAAATTGCCTTTTCCACTACATATTCACTGTTCCCACCACACACTCATAAAATCTCTAAGACCCACTCACCTGATTGTTGAGATTATAGAGATAACGAGACACAAATATATGAATGTTTCTCATGATTTCCAAAACATCCAGGCCCTACAACATAATCCATACAGAAATTCTATTACTGGATTAAGATAATCAGTTAAACTTGCATCAATATATTGACTTACTGATTAGGCTAAGGTATTAACCAAAGATTAAAAGAACCTTCTGAAATGGACAATAGGATTATCACCTTGGTAAGATAGCTTTGTGTTAACTTGTCTCATCTGTGTAGTCAGAAAGAGTTAAATTTACATATTCAAAAATCCATGACCCACAATAATTTTTCCCAGCCTCCTTGAGATGATTTTGGTTTGCATCTCCAATATATTTTTTAACAAAGTATATTTTTTCTTGGACTGGTTACATACAGTAGGATAAAAGAAAATTTATGCCCTTAAAATGGAAAAGAGTGCAATCACTATGGAAGGCAATATGGCGCTTTCTCAAAAATTTGGAAATAGAAATACCATTTGACCCAGCAATTCCACTACTGAGAATAAACCCTAAAGAAGCCAGAACTGCCTCCCAAGTGGATATATGTACACCCATGTTTATTGCTGTTTTGTTCACAATAGCAAAGAGGTGGAAACAACTTAAGTGCCCATCAACAAACGAATGAATAGAGAAGCTGTGGTATAGTCACACAATGGAATATTATACAGCAATGAAAAACAAAGAACGCATGAAATATTTTACAAAAGGGGTAACCATGGAGGACATTATGCTAAGTGAAATATCTCAGTCACAAAAAGACAAATACTACATAATACCACTGTTATAAAACAGGACTGACATGGGAGTTAGGGGGAAAGTAAGAAAAGAGGGGATAAATAATGTAAAGTGCATTGTAACAGACAAGGGGGAGAAGTGTATAAATGGAATATATGATTAGGTATTATAGGCATGACAAAAGTCCAGAATAAGAGCTTCATAGTAAAGTAGTCCAGAGGGGCAGAAGGACACATAACTATAACAATGAAAGAACTCTTCTTCCAAGGAAAAAAGCAAACTGGGGAGAAGGGGGGAGAGGAAAATGTGCAACAATGAATGAATGGGAATCCATGTTCTTACAAATGTTCATTAAAAAATCTCAATTTTAAAAAAAATGGAAATGAGCAATTTCAGAACTGAATGTAAATGTAAGTGCTTTTTGGTAAATATGTAAGACAGGCTCAGTTTATTTTGGCAAGAATTATGTATAAAACAACTAGAAACATAAATTATTATACTCATTATATGGCCATAATATCAATTAGCTCATTGAATTAGCACAGCCAAATAATTCTTTCCATTCCTCTTTTTAAGAACAAATATTACTTACAAATCATATACATTTACCACTTGTCCTAAGATACTACAAGTTACAGACACACCACGTCGCTCACTGCTGTTGAGTTGGAACAGAATTCCCATGGCTCAGTGGTAAGCAGATGGACTGCCAACCCGAAGGTTTGAATCTAACTACTTGATCCATAGGAGAAAGATGGGTAACCTCTTCCCATACAATTTACAGCCTCTGAAAATCAGCCGAAGGGTCAGCTATGAGTTGATTCTGAGAAGGCATAAAACAACAACCAATCACACAGGAAGAGATGGACCATCTTTCTCCCTCGGAGGGGCTGGGGAATGCAAACCATTCACCTCTGAGTTTACAGTGTAACTCACTACTGTTGAGGCCACCAGGCATACAAAATGCCACATCTAAAATATGTAACTAGAATCTGATTGACTTTTAAAAATTCTTATGATATTGGTTTGCTTACAACTTGTTTTTTTTTTTACAATTTCTCAGAAGTCACCTCACTATTTCAATGAGCTTCTAAAAAGCGCTATCTAAACCTATGTGCATCTCCAACTTTCAACGGAAAATGGATTCATTATCAAGCAGCCAGCCTATAGTAAATTCTTTCGTAACACAAGCTGGCACAAATATTTTGTCTTTGCCAACGATGAAGTTTTAGAAAAAGGTATTTTTTCAAATATAAGCTAACTAAAGAGGAATGGAAAAAATACTTCTTAAAGAAATGCTCTTAGCATGTAAGCCTCACCATGACAGAAACCCATGCTACTATACCTGCTCCAAAGTCTGACTTGGAAGGTGTGCCTCTGTCATCACCAATCCGTAACGCTGAGTAGCTAGGTTTCTCATTTCGCTGTAAGTGGCCCAGTCATGAAGAGCCACTGTTGTTAGATTGTAGAAGGTCTTATCTAAGTAGTGAGTTACATATGCTACAAAAAAAAATTCCAAAAATATTTAACTCACAAAACAATGAAGGAAACAAACTGGCTATAAACATTAAGAATGCACTAAAGAGCAAAGAAAAACTTCTCACCTCGAATGTCAATGAAACGATTAAAAAATCGAATTGGATTCAGAGAGAAAAAAAGAGCGAGATCTTTCATGCCAACTTTGAACGGGTTTCGGTCGTCCAGTTTTAAGTGGGTGTGCACAGAGAGTCGCAGATCCTTCTCTATTTCTTTGCACAACTTGTCCAGCAAATGCTATTCACAAAAGAAATTGTATCAGACACTTAATATTTTAAAATGATATTCCATTTATATTCTCACCTAGGTGCCTATGCTCTGACTTTTTAAAAAAAGGAATTTAATCATCAGTGTATTCTAAAGAAGTAACGTAGATAATAAAGTTTTCTGATATAATTAGAAGAATCTTAAGGTTTTAGAAAGATTGCTTCTCAGGCATTTTACTGCCTCTAAAAACTTATTGTCTTCTCCCATAGGATTTACTGCCTTTAAAAACTTAAAAAGGGTCAGCAATGAGTCAGTTTCCAACTTAACATCATACAACAAAAACTCAATAAGGATCAGCTCGGAATTGGATGGGATTTGAGAGCACATAACAATAGACCTATTATGATGGGAAAACTAATTGGGTTTTTTCCCTTTTTTAAGTATCTCATGGTAAAATTTATTATTTACTAGGCAAATGAAGGTTACTTCACTCTCCATTTTAAATTGATAGAGTTTTTTTTTAAATCAAGGAGCCATTATATAAATACTAAGCCTTTGTTTTTATTTGTATATTTGAAAATGAAATCAAAAGCTAGTCTGTCACAGATTAGTAAGAAACAGTAATATAATCAGTATTAAAAATTAAAGTACAAAAGCAATACAACTTAAGGAACAATCAACAAAAAGAAAAGTGTCTAAAATTATGTAAGAGGGATAAAAATTTTTAAAAAAGTGCAAGAGGGAATAAAAGAAAAAAACAATGTTCATTTCATCCCTAACCAGCGCTTGACATATAAATTTATTAATATGGAAAAATCTTAACCGTGTGTAGCTGTTGTTGTTATGTGCCACTGAATCAAGTCAGGTACAACTCACAGGGACCCTATAAACAACAGATCTGAACCTTGTACTATCCTGTTCCATCTACATCAACTGACACCCTTTGGCCCATTGCCACGGTCACTGTGTCAGTCTGTCTCATTGAAGGTCTTTCTCTATTCCACTGAACTTCTACCTTTCCAAGCATGATGTTTCCTTCCAAAGAATAATCTCACCTAGCAACACGCCATCCTTGCCTCCAAGGAGCACTCTGGCTGCACTTTCTCCAAGATATATCTGTTTGTTATTTTGGAAGTCCATGGGATTGTCAGTACTTTTCTCCAAAACCTTAACTCAAAGGTGTTAATTCTTCTTGTCATCATAATCATTTGTCCAGCTCACAGATGCATAGCAAATGAATGAAAAGACCATACCTGAATCAGGAACACCTTAGTTTTTTGTTTTTGGTGTTGTTTTTCTATTTTATTACTATTTTGTGTGTGTGTACCGTCAAATCAGATCTGACTGGTACAGGAGGAAACTGCCCCTCCTTCTCCAGCAGAGCATCTGGTGGATTCGAACCACAGACCTCTGGAATTGCAGTGCAGCTTCCTGCCACTAGGCCACCAGAGCTCCCTTAACACCTTAGTTTTTAAACTAAATTTAAAGAGGTCCTTGACAGCACTTTGCCAATGCAACACATTTTTTGATTTCCTAACTGTGGATCAAAAAAAAAAGATGAAACCATTGACAACTTCAATGTTTTCTCCATCTATCATGATGCTGCCTATAGGCCCAGTGGTGAGGATTTCTGTTGTGGTGTTGAGATTTTTGAGACTGATTTTTCTATCCATTACTTTAACCCTGCTCCTCCCCAAGGCGTATGCCTCAACTGCAGGCACATGGCTTGTCATTGATCAGCATCTTCAACATCATCAACAGCTACAAGGTCAACATAACAAAGGGAGCTAACCAGTCTGGAGTAAGACTGTGGCAAAGGACAGTTTGCTGGAACCAGAGCAAGCCAGGGCCAGACAGAGCCAGAGGTTTGATTACTGGACAATTTAGGGTAGAGTTGGCTTAGGACTGCTACTTACTGAACCTAGACTTTTCTCTATGATATCCTTTGCCTCTGCATTCCTTACTTATTTCCCTAATAAACTCCAAAAATGCAAGTAAAAGACATCTTATAAAGGCTGTGTGGTCATTTGTAACAAATTTCAAACCCAGGAATTAGTAGAAGTACGTGCAGCAGAGTAGGGGACCAAATCTGACTTTATAGGGATTCGTTTTATACTGGGTATGTTGTTGATGGGGACAGACCCCTTTGCAGAGTTAACATGTCTCCATGCAGCTCTTGCTCCCATTTGATGTTGGGATTTAAGCCATATTTTAGGTTGCAGTCTTTGATCTTTTGCAGCAAATGTTTCAAGTCTTCCTCACTTTCAGCAAGCAAGTTGGTGTCAATGCAGATTGTTGATGAATCTTCCTCCATTTCTAATGCCACTTTCCTCTTCATAAGGTCCAAATTCTCAAATGAATTGCTCAGCGTACAGACTGAACAGGATGGAAAAAGGATACAGAACTAACACATACCTTTGATTTTAAACCAAGTAATAGACCTTTGGTCTATCTGGACAATAGCTTTCCTGGTCTAGATAAAAGTTTTTTTAACACAATTATTTAGAAGTAAACAATCTTCTTTGCATTTGCAATCTTCTCTCGTGGCCTAGTAGGTAAGGCGTTATACTTTCAACACAATGGCAGGAAGTGTGTATCTGCTGTTTCTT